GCATGATCACCATCTATCACCTGCCCTACAGTTCCTGCTACTTTTGAGAACCTGCAGCCCCAAATCCACTGCAGCAACCCACACTCACAACCACTCCAGGACCTCCTCCCAACCAAGAATGGCCTCCTCGGCGAGGCTGGTTACATTCTGATCAGAGTGCCCAGCCGCGCAGCCCGTTTCACCACATGGACCCTCCCCACACGGAGGCTCCCAGGCACTGTTGACCTTGCTCCTCTTTCCTGAGCCAGCTAAGTCCCCAAGCCCTCCTTCACATGTCAACCACTTTCTTGCCAACTTGTAACTCCCAGTTCCTGGCACTACCATCACACCCATCAGCTAAGCTTGTCTTGTCCTTCTCTGCCAGAGAAACCTCAAGAGGTGACCAGAGAGTCTCAGTCATGCACTAAGCAACTACACCCACACATGGGCTCTTGTTCAAGCCAAATGGATGGGTTCAGAGTGGTTAAAGGACTTGCCCAAGGCTGTGAAGAAATTAAGGGGCACAGTGGACACTTAGACAAGGCTGCCTCCCAGGACCACCACTGGCTCCCTATCCCATCCTTTCACCTTCCTGGCATCCGACACCACTCCTGCCTGCACTATCACGCTTATCTCTGCACCCCCTCTCATCCCCAAACAACAGGAGCCTATGTCCAACCCTCTCCATCTTTCTAAGAGTTTTCCTCCATCACTTGGTGTTCCCTTTCTGGGTCTCTCCCTCTGCTGGCCCACCTTTCAGCAGGTAGATACACTCATTTGTCCTATTGTTCAAAGTTACACATACGCTCAAGCAAAAGCCGCACCCCAGCCCCAACCCTCACACTAAGTTCTAGGTACTAGCTCCTCTTTCCATTCACAGCCAAGCTTCTGAAGCGTAACCTAAACTTGGCTGTCTCCTCAGCTCTTCTGTTATTCCCAATATCAACTTCCACCCACACCGTCCTGTGAAGTGGTTCTCTCCAAGGTCACCCTGACTTCCAGGAAGTATTTCCCCTTCATTACTACATTTGACCCCTGAGGCCATCTGATCTGAGGCTGGTACTCCTTCTTACCTTGCCCTCTGGGACATGCTCTCTCCCAGCTGTCTGGCTACCTGCCATCTCTGCTGGACTTTCTTTTTTGCTCAGCCTAGGGTTCTGCACTGTACCTACTCATCCTCCTCAGTTGTGGAAGTGCATACTTATTTGACCTGTCACTCTCCCCTGCTTGCTGGGCCCAAAGTGGGCTCTGCAGCCTGGCTCCCCTGCGGTCTCATCACTACCTCTCACCTCCCACTGCTATTACTGCTTTTCTGAGTTGGCCAGGTCCAACTCCACTCAGGCCTCAGCTACTCCAGAAGGCTCTCTCTGACCTCCTGGGCTGGATTAGGGGTCTCCCTTATCCCCTGTTCACTGTAGGTCAACCTCAAAGCACCCAATCACAGCTGTCTGTCTCTCAGCTGTCTCCCCTGAGACAGACTGCTCAGCCCAGAGTGGGCCCAGGGAACATCTGCTGACTCAATGATCAAGCAGAGGAAGAGTGCACTTCAGGCCTATCTCCCAGGAGTGGCTGTGAGCTGAATTTGGGGGCAGGGTCTCACCCATTCTTCTTGGGCAAATAGGCTTCCATATCGAAGAAGAGGCCTTGGCGCTCCTTGATCTGGTTCTCCAGCTCCTTCGAAGCCTCCTGGACCCCCGCTGGAAGGGAGGGTTTGCATCTGCAGGTGGGACCACAGAAGCCAGTCAGAGCAGGAGTATCACACTGACACCTGTGGGGCAGGAGGGCTACCATGGCTCAGAGAGGGAGGGGAGGAGCTGTGCCAAAGACACTCCCAGAGTCAGCACCAGCCCTCCACCCCACCAGGTGAGACACCAACACCCAGACCAAGGCTGAGGGGCCATGAGGGGCCCTCGGGGTGCGGGGGGGAGGGAGGGGTCCTAACTTCTTTAGAATGAGGGCCAGCTCATGAAGCTTCTTCTTCTGCCGAGTGATGGAGCTGGTACAACTGTTCTGCAGTTTGATCAGCTCTTCCAGCTTCAGACGGTACTGCCTGTGGGTCTCCTGAGGACCAGGATGAGAGAAGGGTCAGACTGGTTGGAGGGCCATTGAGCCAGAGCCTGCTGGGCAGGGACTGGGGCGCAGACTCCTCCAGGGCTCCTTGGGAGGGTCTCAGCAGGTGAGGCAGCCAGCTGTGCCAGCCCAGGGACCTCCCTAAGGTTGCTCTCTCCCTCCAAGGCAGGCAAGGAGACAGGATTCTTTCTGCAAGCCCAGAAGCACCCATGGCACCCAGCTTCCAGAAACTGGCTAGTTCCCTGAAGGTTTTTTTAGTCTAAACTCATCTACTAGTTGTTTCCACCCCCTCTCTGTCCCGCCCTGAGTCTGGATTCTAAGCCCACAGGTCCACCTTCTGGACCAAACAGGCTACCTGAAGCCACCCCTGGCCTTGGCCGATGCTCCTGCCTATCCAGCCACATGTGCAGAGGGAGCTGGGATTGTCCAAGATGGCCTCTGCTCTGGCACTCCCTTCATCTTCCTCCCAGGTTAAAGGTCATCAGGGTTCAGTCCTTGGTCTTCCTGCTATAAGACCAGTCCCATACACCTCCCCCAGTACCTTTGGCCCAAAGCCTCTCAGAGCACTTTGCCCTGGTGGGTGAGTCTAGAGAAGCAGCAGCCTGGAGGTTGGGCAAGGAGCAATGTGAGGAAGGTCAGGCCGGGGCTGAGGCCTGGCCAGTGGTGATCAGGCTGGGAGACTAGGTCGGCTCCACTTAGGACTCTAGGAAGAAGCACTAATGGCAGCAGGTATGGCTGGCCAGGGGGGCAGCTGGGCTTCAATGTGGGCAGGGACTGGAATCAGCCCAGGAGAGGTAAAGTCCTCATCAAAAACAGCTTTCCTGAGCTCTGCCCTGAATGAGTATTGTTTCTCCTGCCACCGCGCCCCTCAGAACCCGGCAGGTTCCCCTCTACCCACACCCAGCCCCGCCTCTCCCACTTCCTCCCTGGACTCCCCGTCGAACAGCAGAGCGGCCAATACGAGCCGGGCCGGCCAGT